AGAGGAAAAATAAATATTTCAGATTTCTTTCTGATCAAGATCCCAAGTGCCTACCTTCCAGGATTTCAAGTACTTAAAAATCTTGAAAAATTTTTTTCAAGTATTAAAAAAAAAAAAAGTGGAAAAACAATTCAAGACAATAACCTAGTAGAAAAATAGTGTAAATAGTAAACAGAAAAAGAAATGTAACATGGTTAATCTCATAAGAAAATGCAAATATAAAAACCATACTAAGATGCCATTTTAATCTACTGCAAGAATTTGAAAATTATATAACTTACTGAAGGTATGAGGAAACATGTTGCTGGTGGAAAAATAAATTAGTAAAATTTAATGGAGGGCAATTTGGTAACATTGAGCGAAATTCAGTTTTGATCCTTGCAATTCAGTTTGGGGAAAGCTTTCTACAGATAAACTCCTGCATATGGAAATTATTTATGCCAAAGATATTAGCTTTAATGTTATATAACAAGATATTGCCCAATCTAAATGTCCTTAATTAGCATTATTGATACATTATTTTATAATATTAAATGGACTACTTAGTCATAAAACAGATTAAGAAAGCTCTGTGTACTGATTGGGAAAGAAGTTCAAGGTATATTAAATCAGGAATTGGTAAGCTTTTTCTTAAAGGGCCAGCTAGAAACTATTTTAGGCTTTGTAGGCATTGTGGTCTCTGGCTACTGACTATTTAGCTGTTGTCATGAGAATGTTGCCATAGACAATACGTAAATGAATGGGCATGGCTGTGTTCCACTAAAGCGTTTTTACAAATACAGGTGACTGGCTAGTGGGTTATAGTTGCTGACCCCTGTATTAAATGAAAAAAGCAAAGTGATGAACTGGGCATATAAAGAAAGGTATGAATGAAGCACTGAAAGCTCTGAGAAGTGAGTTAAAGCTTTGCCTGGCATATTTGGGAAAAGAAAGACTTTATAGATAAGGTGATCATTTAAGTTTCTGCAGGTATGTTGGAGCTCTCAAGATTAAGGTGAGAAAGTGTTTTCTGGAATTGATTAGAAGTTGTCTTGGTGATGTACGAAGTTCTTTGTTGGAAGTAGATAACTAAGTTGGGACCATACTTTTGAAGAGACTAGACACTTATTCTGATTTCTAAACCATTTTCTAGTTTGAATAAAGTGTCTCAACATCCAACTCTATTAAACCTTGACATTTTGCCATATTTATTTTAGATCTCTTTGTTGTTATCAGTTGAAACTGCTCTGCAGACCATACAGAGCGCATTCTTCTCTCCTTCTGGAGATAACAACTAGCATAAATTTGTTATTCTAATCTTAGCTTTCTACATTAGCTACATGTTTATATATACATATATGAATAACACATTGTGTTCTGTATGTTTTAAAAGATCATATAATGGTTTGTGATGTCATTTCACAATTGTTTTTTGCCCAAAATTATGTTTATGAGTTCTCTGTATGGACTAGCAGTGTTCAATAGAAATACATTGTAAGTTGCCTGTGTTATTTTAAATTTTCTAGTTGTCACATGAAAAGTGAAACAGGTGAGATTAATAACATACTTTAATAACCCAGTATATCTAAAACATATTAACATATGTTACAGTATACAAGATTTTAATGAGATATTTTACATTCCTTTATACTGTCTTTGAATATTGGCATTTATTTTATACTTGTAGCACATTTCAATAGAACTAATCATATTTTAAGTATTTAGTAGCTACATGTGGGTAGTGGCTTCCACCATGTGAATTGTGATTGTAATAGAACCAAACCCTTCTGATGCTTGAAAGTTGTACATAACACTTACCACCAGGGGTCAGCTAAGTGTCATCATGCTGACACACCAAGAAAAAGTATTTTGTGTGTTGGAATTCGCTTATTTGCAGGTACTGTGCAAAAATTATTCTGTGTACAATAAAGAAACTTCTCCCAAGAACAGCATTTACTGTGGTAAAATAGCTGGAGAGCAAAGGTTGGTATAAACATGGCCAACCACGGTGCAGCCATGGCCTCTTCAAACCCACAAGGCCTCTCTGTACTCTTTATTCTTGCTTGTCTGGAAGAGCATTGGAAGTTTCCCACTATTATCAGGGATGTTACATCTGTAGTAAATATATTGCTTATCCATCAATTCAGTTCAATTGCTCAGTTGTGTCTGACTCTGCGACCCCATGGACTGCAGCACACCAGGCTTCCCTGTCCATCACCAACTCCCAGACCCTACTCAAATCCATGTGCATTGAGTCGGTGATGCCATCCAAACATCTCATCCTCTGTTATCCCCTTCTCCTCCCGCCTTCAATCTTTCCCTGCATCACTGGAGGAGGGAATGACAAACCACTTCAGTATTCTTGCCTTGAGAACCTCATGAACAGTATGAAAAGGCAAAAAAGAGTGCTCATCCATAGCCCAGCCTAATAACTACATACACTTGTTTACTTGCCAGTTTTTTGCTAAGAATCTCAAGCAGGCAACATTTGATTACTGAGGCACATATTAATTATATGGCTCCTGGTTTTCTAAGTTTAAAGTCAGCTCACCAAAAAGGTCTAAACTTAGATTTACATTTCTCTTATTTTCATAGAAAATGCCCTAGACTTCATACTCAGTTGAAAATGCCTTTTAGAAAGCCTTTGTTTTATATACATCGTGATTAGAGACTTTTTCTTGTATGCTGTTAATATCCCTTATATAAAGACCCAATAGAAAAAAAAAATTCTAAGAGCAAAGGTTTGGGAAAAAATTCTCCCATTCATTGCTTGATTCTTGATCAGTTTTTCAGTTCTTAGTTTGTTTTATAATGTGTTTCCTTTAGTATGTCTACTGAAATCTTTTTTTTTTTTTAATACAAATAATTGGTAGATCTATAGTAATCTCTATTAACTCTTAAGGTAAGGCTTGCTGTAGTCTTTATTCTGTGGCTTTAGGACAGCTTTTTAATAGCAGTTCTATATAGAAACTTTTTGCCACAAGGTAGGAATAGAGTTCTATAAGCTTGATTAGTTTGGGAGTACTTAATAGCTGTCAAAAAGCTAACTTTAAGTGAACAAAATAAATATTAGTACTGTTATGAATACAACCTTCCTTTAAGGTTGGCATGATTTCTAATTTCTGCATGGTAGTCTTTTACTTTCTTAGAAATTGATTATTATTGATTATTTGGATTATGATTTAAATATTCTATGAATTTACTTCCAGATCCTTTATATTTTCTGTTGTATTACCTTGATTTTTAAAGAAATTGCTGAACAGAGCCACTTGGAGAAAATGCATGTTTTTGATTGGACAAATAGAAACTGAGAAAAGTTAAGAGGTAGTTCTAGAGAGTAAATGTTTTGCTGGGTCTAGAAGGGAGTAGAAGATGATGGTGGGTCCTTTATACAAGGGCCGGCATGGTGTCCTACAGATAGGAGGTTTTCAAAATCTAGTGTTAAAAATACATGTGTTCATGTTAGATAACCAATATAGGTAGGCATGAACCAAATGAGATGTTCCCATTTTCTTTATTAAAAATCTAAGTGTTCATACACATAGACATATTGTATATAATCTGGAATGAAAAGGCAACATTCTATTTTATCTTAGTGAAAACTTTTATAAGGCACTTGGTTTTAGTTTACCCATGTCAAGTATTAAAGAATATCTTACTAATCACAATAAGCCTATTTGTCAGAAATCATTTTTTAACAAATTTCAGTGTATGCCTTATTGTATATATAAAATTCAGCTGTGAAACAGGCTAAATAGACTTTGTTGAGGTTTTTATACAAATATATGTTCCATATATATCTAAGATTGAAGGACCCTAGACAAATCCTCTTGTTACTATATTTGTAGACTGAATTTTCAAAAGCCCCCATAGTTCTGTTCGTTTGTTTTCAAAGTGGGGAATGCCAAAGGTTATCATATGAGCTGCTAGTAAAAAGTCCTGTTGCTGGTTGGAGCACATCAAACTTAAAGACCATACAGTTTAAAGATAAAGAAGTGTTCATGGGAGTAGATTTGGAAACTGGATTTGTTTTATGAGCTCAGTTTGGGGAATACAGACAGTAGTGAAATTCCTTTTTCATTGACGTGATAACAGCTGATTATATACTTTTTTCTTTAGTTTTCCACAAGAATACCATTTGAGTTTCCTTAATATTGTATTGAGCCAGAAGTCCTGAAAGGTCTTTGCTTTGCTAAGGCTTTTTAGTGATCTGAAAGTAGAATGGAGATGTAATAGCAAAGGAGATTTGTGATGGTAAGGTAATGGTAATAAGTGGAGAACAGTTTGGTTGGAAACCTATGGCATGGTGTGATGTCTTTGCCATTATGTATGTTCAGTTAGTGAAGAAGGAAATGGCAACCCACTCTAGTATTCTTGCCTGGGAAATCTCATGGACAGAGGAGCCTGGCGGGCTGCAGTTCATGGGGTTGCAGAGAGTTGGACACAACTGAGCAACTTAACCACAGCAACAGCAGTGCTCAATTAGAAAGCAGTTCCCTATCTTCCTTATAAGAATATCCCAGCTCCAAATTCTGCCAACTGAAATATATCAGATTTCAAAGAGAGACCTGACACATTAAAATCTGCTTGTACTTGATTTGGCTATATAAACCATTGTATTAGAAACAGAATTTAGAAATAAAGTTTTGTTTTTACTGTTTCATTTGCTGAAATAATTGTGTTCAGTTTCTTTGTATGTACAGAGATTCCTTTGGAATGATTTGTCTTTCCAAGACAGGTGATAGCTAGGAGTATCTTCATAAGTCTTAAAGAAGACAGTTTTTCTTCTGAAAAATACTTTGGGGATAAAACCCTAGTCTGCTAACATTTGATAATTCCTTATATGCTTTATTTCTCATTGATATTTAGAAGTATTTCTCAAATTTAAGAAGTCAGAGCATTGAGTGAGCTTATTCTTATTAAATATCTTAAGTTTTTAATTGTTAATATGGATTTTGTCTTTTTTTTTCCCTCCCCTTTTCTTTGAGGAGTTTGGACATAATTGCCTTATTTCATTTCAGGGATCCTTCTAAAGTAAATATTCTGGTACCTGGTGCTGGACTAGGAAGACTGGCCTGGGAAATAGCTATGCTAGGTTATGCTTGTCAAGGAAATGAATGGAGTTTTTTTATGCTTTTTTCTTCCAACTTTGTACTCAACAGGTATTTAATTTACTTTTTGCTAGAAACAGTAATTTCTCAGAATCGGATTGACTTACCCTATTTTTGAAAAATTCTGAATTTGAAGAGAAGTGCATAGTGTCTAATTATGGTATATATCATAAGTGTTTCTTGTATCAAAATTAAATTGCTTATATAGTTACTACTTTAATTAGTTGCCTAGTTAACAGAATGTTGAACAGGATGGGTAAGGGATGTTTTAAAAAGTGATTGGGTATTCAAGAAACTGAAATGATTTCTCTGCAGAATTTAGGGCTGAGTATTGTCCAGGAAGGAGTATTTTCTTATTGTTCCTTAAGCTTATTCAGCCCTGTTTCTTTAGTGGGATAAGATTTTAATGTAGTGATCACATTTTTTTTACTTAATCAAATTCTCATGAAATGACTCCACATAACCGAGTTGGAAAGATTTCTCAGAACTTCTGTGGCCTTATAAAGTAGTGGAAAATAGTCTAAATCCAGAAGAGGTATGTTAGAGAAAAAATAAATAGCTGCCTTGTTTAAACAATACGTTGTCTTGGTAGCAGTGTGAGTTAGAAGTTAGTGAAAAGGTAAAAAGGAGAGTGTTACAAAAAATTAAAATAATTAGGTAACAAAACATACCATTTTTTTGAAAAAAATACTTAGACTGTTTTTCACTTGGGCTCAGGTTTTAACAGTATGTGTTTAAAAATTTGAATGAACAGCACATTTACATACCTGAATTTACCTTAATTTTGTTTCTGTCTTTTAATCCATGATTGGTTACTCATCTACATGCATATGTGGAGTTTAAGATAATTGGGTAAAGTATAGTGGTAACACTTTTTTTAGTTATATAAGTAAATCTTCAATCAGATTATAAATTTTGGTATTTAAAGTAGATTTCCTTGGTAAAATATTTAGTTAACACTGAATTTTATGCTCATATTTTACAGATGTTCTGAAATTAATAAATATAAGCTTTATCCCTGGATTCATCAGTTTAGCAATAACCGGAGGTCAGCTGATCAGATTCGACCCATCTTTTTCCCTGATGTTGACCCCCACAGTCTTCCTCCTGGTTCTAACTTTTCTATGACAGCAGGAGATTTTCAGGAGATATACTCAGAGTGCAGTAAGTCCAAAGAAAGCATTTTAAAAATCACATCCTTTATTCTAAATTTATTGAGCTAATTTTGTACTGAGCCAAAGTTGTCATTCATTTTGATGGTAGAATTTAAGGTATAGTTCAGTGACAGTTTATCAGTAGAATATTTTCAGAGTTATCTATAAGACAATCATGGGAACTATAAAGAAATATGGGATCTGCAGTTGAGAAATTTAGACTCTGTTGAGTCTATTAATATAAGACAACATGGACAGTGACTTGAAGAATAGGGAGGAATGGCATTCAGAGGTACAAAGATATGAATGAGTAGGTAATCAGGGATGGTGGAACGGCCTGGCTACAAGGAAAAAGGACTTTGTGGGATTTAATGGGTGATGAGGCTAGAGAAGTAGGTTGGTGTGGAGGCCCTTTATAATCAGACTGTGAAGTTTGGACTTGAGCCTGGCAAAAGGTAGAAGAAATTTGAGCTAGTCATTAGAGAAAGGGAGATGATAATGGGGAAAGAGGAGAGAGACTTGTCAATCAAAAGAAAAAAAGAAGGCTGAGGGGTCAGCAAGTTTGTTTGTTTAACAGGTATTTGTTGAGCACCTGCTAAGTAGGAGGTATATTCCAGGTCCTGCAGAAACAGCAATGAGGAAAACAAAGGTCCTGTTCACAGGAAGCCTATATTCTAGTTTGGAGAGAGGCAATAACAAATTAATATTGTGAGGAAGAAAAATAAGGCAGGTAAAGGGGATAATGATTGGCTGGGGAGGGTCTGCTGTTTTATATGGAATTATCAAGAAGGTCTTTCTTAGGTGAGAACTTAAAAATTGAGCAGAGAACCTTGTAAGACTGAAGAGGCAAGCCATTCAGATACATGGGGGAAAGTGTTGCAGAGAGAGGAAACGCAAAGGAAGGAGGATTCCGGGGTGTGAAGGACACTTGTTTTGCTCAGGAAGAGCTAGAGGATCAGTTTGGCTGTGATGTGAGCAGTGGGCAGGTGATGAGAGGTGAGGTTACAGAGGGTTTGGTGAGACAGACTTGTAGGCCATAGCTAATACTTCAAATTGTACTCAAAAGAGGAACGGGAGACCTTGGAGAGATGAGAGCAGGAGGGTAACAAGGTAGTGAAGTTACTGTTTTTCCCTGAATGCTGGCACTGGGAGATCCTGCACTGAAGGTACAAGGAGAGACATAGTGTTAGGATGAGTTAGGGACCTCGGTCTCAAAATAGAAGTGAGATAATGAAAAACATTGCTTTGGCAAGTAAAAATGACTTTCTTCTGGAGCACAGTTTGAAAGAGGAGCTGGGGAAGGCGATCCACAGTTGGATGAAGGGCCTTATCTGTACAGACAGCCACTTTCAGCACAGTCTCTTCTGTCTCTGTGCCAAGCCACAGCCTCCAGAAGGCAAAAGGTTCTCTTTTGGCTTTTCACCCTCCGCTGCTGACTGTCCCAGCCCCCCTTTTATCTGGCAGTTCCCCCGAGTACTGGTGGGTGCTTAACGTGTTTTGATACCATTCATTTCTCAGGTGGCAGCAGATGCATTCAGTCTTTTTTGAAACCTTCCAGAATTGGTAGTTAACACTGGTTTAAATCACAACTTAAAATGACTGTTACTTTCATTGCAACTGGTTTTATTTTTAAATTTAGAAAAATTTTTAATTCTTAAAATTTTTATTAGAGTCATCATAACTGATTTAAATAAAGCTAGAGATTGAAAAGATTATAAATAAAACTCATAAATATTACTTGGTGAAGATATAGTGATATAGGTTATCAAAAATGATTTCCAAATTGGTTATGTTATCAAATTAGCAATAAAAGCTTTTATGAATGACGGCGTATTTTGTAAATTATTATTTGGTTGCCTAGATGATAGTATTTGATTGGAAGAGTTTAGCTTCTATACCTCTGCAGTTAAATATTCATATCTGTAAAGAGGTAACTGGTTCATTTATAAAATTCATGAAAAGAAAGGCAAAAATAGCATAACATGTAGTAATTTGATTTTCCTTAAATAGATACCTGGGACTGTATTGCTACCTGTTTCTTCATAGACACAGCTCACAATGTAATTGATTATATTGATACAATATGGAAAATACTCAAGCCAGGTGGAATTTGGATAAATCTAGGTAAGTTCCTCAGTATTTATTAGAACTTCTACATTAATCTGAGTACTTATAGCTGTCCTGCATTTGGTAACTTCACACATAGTACTAAATATTCACGAAAGTTGTCATCATGTTTTACGTTTGGTTTTTTTCATAATATATTTTTAATCGGAGGATAATTTGCTATATAATATCGTGTTGGTTTCTGGCATACGTCAACATGAATCAGCCATATGTCACATATGCCCCCTTCCTCCTGAACCTCTCTTCCATTCCCACCCCATTCCACCCCTCTCTGTTGTCACAGGGCACCAGGTTTGAGTTTCCTTCATCGTACAGCAAATTGTCACTGGCTGTCCGTGGCAATGTATATTTTTCCATGCTACTCTTAAATCGTCCCACCCTCTCCCTCGTCCACTGCTTCCACAGGTCTGCTCATTATGTCTGTGTCTCCACTGCAGCCCTGCAAATAGGTTCATCAGTACTGTCTTTCCAGACTCCATGTACATGCGTTAATATACAGTATTTGTTTTCCTCTTTCTGACATACTTCACTCTGTATAACAGGCTCTAGGTTCATTTACTTCATCAGAATTTACTCTGCATTTTTTTATGGCTGAGTAATATCCCATTATATATGTACCACAACTTCTTTATCCATTCATCTGTCAGTGGACATCTAGGTTGCCTCCATGTCCTAGCTCTTATAATAGTGCTGCAGTGAGCATTGGGGTACATGTGTCTTTTCCAATTATGGTTTTGGAACCATAGTGAGATTGTTGCATTGTATGATATTTTTATTCCTCGTTTTTTTAAGGAATCTGCCTACGGTTCTCTATAATAGCCATATCAATTTATATCCCACCAACAGTGCAGACATTTCTCCAAAGAAGACATACAGATGGCTAATAAACACATTAAAAGATGCTCAACATCACTCATTATTAGAAATGCAAATCAAAACTACAATGAAGTATCACTTCACACTGGTCAGAATGGCTGTCACCAAAATATCTACAAACAATAAAGGCTGGAAAGGGTGTGGAGAAAAGGGAACTCGCTTGCAATGTTGTACATGTTTTAAAACCTTCATAGTTTATACTGCATTCTAATTAGTGGTGCAGTTCCTCCAATCATAGCTAGTCCTTCCAAAAGCAGTGGAACCCCCAAAAGTTATATATCCATACTAGGTCAGTCTCATAGCAGCCATAATTTCAAAGAGGTAGTGGTGGTTTAGTTACTAAGTCGTGTCCAGTTCTTGCGAGCCCATGGACTGTATCCCACCAGGCTCCTCTGTCCATGGGATTCTCCAGGCAAAAATACTAGAGTGGGTTGCCATTTCCTTCTCCAGGGGATCTTCCTGACTCAGAAATTGAACCTAGGTCTCCTGCATTGCAGGCAGATTCTTTACTGACTGAGCTACAGGGAAGCCCAAAGAGGTACTAATTATTAATTCAATGATAATCATCCCCTCATCTTCCCAATTCTCCACTCCATGGAGAAACAGCACTTCTGTTCAGGAGAGAGTGGTCTTTTAAAATTTCTGTAATGAAACATTGGAGGGGAAGCACTTAATCTCTCCCATGAAATCCTCCTCCCCGGTGTATATATGTATGGGGAAAGAGTAAGTATGATAACTTCTGTATCTCCTTTAAATGTAAGAAAGAGTAGAAATATAACTTCATTTATGCAAAAATGTTTTTACTGCATCGTATTGCTAGTTGCTAGAAATCAAATGATGAGTATCACGTGGTCCTTTCCATCTGAAGCCTAAGGGAAATTGCCCATTTTATCCTGTTCCTTTAAAATAATGGGAAAATAATGATAATTAAGGTAAATGTACTTTTCTTTTTTAGTAAGATAGATAATCCTTATTAAGAAATACTATATACATAAAAGTCAAGTAAATATTGAGTTCTTGGTCTTCAGTATTTGTGTAGTTCTGTTGGTAGGTTCTATCATTTGCTCTCTTTAATGATTTAGCTTACCAGAGATGTAGTCAGTAGGTCTAAGGCTCCAGGTCATAGTAGGTCTTTTCCAAACTTCTTTTTAGAAGTCCATAGGACAGATGAGAGCAGCATAATATATAGCCATGATATGAAGCAAGTTTCTCAAACTTTTGAGTCTTCCTTAAAAGAAGAGTACTCCTTTTCTGAAGGAATGACTAAAAGATAGCATTACCAACTGGGTGTTTGCTTCCTTGTGGTTAGGCATAATGTTGGCCACTTACAAAATATCTGTGTAGTCTCAGAACAACCATATGTTGAAATGGGGTTTACTATATAGTTGAAGAAACTGAATCTTGGGTTAAGTAACTAGCAGAAAAGTTGTGGAGCTTATACATGGCAGATGGGCGGACAGCCCAGATCCAGCCCCTTGACTGCCTAATCAGCTAACTCTGCAGGCTTGCACTGGGTCAGTCTATAACTTACCTTTATTCTGACTGTGTGTTTCTGTGTCTAAAATTTTTCATACCAGTTATTGAGTTATGTAAGGTTCTGTGTATTTCCAGACCATTTGACTTAACTTTCATAGAAACAACTTTTCTTTTTGAATGTTTATTGGTTTATTAATATTTTATTAAGTTATATAACAACAACAGTTACAACTGCCTGGAGCAAATACATGTGGCCCTTGGTAAGTAAACTGTTTGATAAGAGTAGATGTGCTAAGGTGTGGCCTGTGGTCTGTCATTGGCATCACAGTTAATGCAGCATGTTTGTTAACATGAGATCAGTTAAGAAGAGGGCTTCCCACTGCAATGTTGCGAAGTAATTAGCCTTCAACTAATAAAAATAAATGAAGAAAAAAAAAGATGTGGCCCTTGGTAAGTAAACTGTTTGATAAGAGTAGATGTACTGAGGTGTGGCCTGTGGTCTGTCATTGGCATCACAGTTAATGCAGCATGTTTGTTAACATGAGACCAGTTAAGAGGGCTTCCCACTGCAATGTTGTGAAGTAATTAGCCTTCAACTAATAAAAATAAATGGAAAAAAAAGGCAAAAAAACAAAAAAGAAGAGGGCTTCCACTCTTCTTACCAGGGAGTTTCTCTTACGCTCCAAGCCAGTGTGTCCAACTTGGATGCACCACAGATGCTTCCTAATGCAGGTGCCTGGAGGAAATGATGCCCGTGCTTCCCCTTTGCCTTGTGTTCCATCATCTACTCAGATTTCCCCAACCAGAAAACTGGTATAGGTCTTTAACCTCTCCTTCATGTGCATCTAGTCAGTCTATAAGTTTTACCTCCTAAAACTCCGCAATAGCTCTTATATCTCTTTATAATCCAGGGTTTCTCAACCGCTGTACTTGTAAGTTATCTTCAACACTTTACACTCCTTTCAGTTCTCCATTTACACCAGCGTGGTCTTCCCAATGTGCAAATCTCTTCTTATCAGATCTCTCCTGCGTGACAGTCTAGCTTTGTTGGTAACCTAAACCCTGCTGGGCGTGTACAGCGCCCTTTGTGATCTCTCTTCTGTCTTGTGTCCCAGCTTCAAGTTTTTGTTTTGTTTTGTTTTTACTGTCCTTCCTTGTCCTGACCTCAGGTACTAGTCTTCTGACCTAGAAAGCCCTTGCTGTTTCCTCTGATTTTCATTTGGCTCTTCCCTATGTGCTCTTTAACACTCTGCTCAGGAGATCCTTTCAGATTGGGTTAAATATTATGTTATTTCTCTTTTATATTCTCACAAGTCTGTCAGCATTTAATGCATTGTGGTGTAGTCACTCATCATTTTGTTTCCCCTACTAGTTTCTAAGTTTTACAAGGGCAGGAATCTAGTGCTTCTTCCTCACTTGGAGTTAACTGTTATGTGTATAAATGGATGTATTGTTTTAGAATTTGAAATAAGGATCAAAGTAAGATGCCACAGAAGATTGACTGGCTGCTAAGAGACGTGATGATAAAATGGCCTTTACATTGGTAAATTCATAACATTCCTGTGGTTTGGGCTTCAGTCATGTGGACTTGGAAAATTAGTTTCATCTGTAAACTGAGAATGTGTCCCCAGCCCCTTGGGAACAATTTCACTCTAACTTAGGCAGATGACACCACCTATATGGCAGAAAGTGAAGAGGAACTAAAGAGCCTCTTGATGAAAGTGAAAGAGGAGAGTGAAAAAGTTGGCTTAAAGCTCAACATTCAGAAAACTAAGATCATGGCATCCAGTTCCATCACTTCACGGCAAATAGATGGGGAAATAGTGGAAACAGTGACAGACTTTAGTTTTGGGGGCTTCAAAATCATTGCAGATGGTGACTGTAGCCATGAAATTAAAAGACACTTAACTCCTTGTAAGAAAAGTTATGACAGACCTAGACAGCATATTATAAAGCAAAGACATTACTTTGCCAACAAAGGTCCATCTAGTCAAGGCTATGGTCTTTCCAGTAGTCATATATGGATGTGAGGGTTGGACTGTGAAGAAAGCTGAGCACCGAAGAATTGATGCTTTTGAACTGTGGTGCTCTTGAGAGGCCCTTGGACTGCAAGGAGATCCAACCAGTCCATCCTAAAGGAAATCAGTCCTGGATATTCATGTGAAGAGCTGATGCTAAAGCTGAAACTCAATACTTTGGCCACCTGATGTGAAGAACTGACTCATTTGAAAGACCCTGATGCTGGGAAAGATTGAAGGCAGGAGGAGAGGGGGACGAACAGAGGATGAGATGGTTGGATGGTATCACTGACTCAATGGACAATGAGTTTGTGTAAACTCCGGGAGTTGGTGATGGACAGGGAGGCCTGGCCTGCTGCGGTTCATGGGGTCGCAGAGTCGGATGCAACTGAACTGATGCTTATATAGACCAGAATGTCAGTATATTCATATGTAATGAGAAATGTGCCCACTAGCCATTCTGGAATACTAAGAAGTTATGTTGGAAGTTAAATTATAATGAAAAATTTGCCACAGTGTATGAAATTAGAGTTGGAAATATTATTAACGTATAAAATGCTTGAGGGGTATTTAAGATATTCACTTGAATGTTTTCCAGGTTTGGGAAAACTAGTGAGCTTTTCAAGG